AGTACAACAGGGTCTGAATTTATACCTTCAGAAGGACCCAATAAACTTAGTTAACACAGCGGTTAGTAAATGGCATTATAAGTTATCGGAAATTTCATTCTGGAATTACTGGCAAGTTTGATTTTATACACCCTTTATACTGTATAGTCTAGTCAATGAAGGTAAACAAGTATAAACTATGCACCAAAAAGCACAGATTTTCATAAAAATTTGGATTTCGTTTCAAAATATCTTCCATTAAAAAGTCTACCCTGTTGCGGGTTTGCTTTTTCCCTAGCGGTGGATGGCATCCCTTCTAAAGGGAGAAAATCTGTTCATTAAAAATAAGTAAAATCATTCGACCAACTAATTCTAGAAGGAATTTTTGTTGTATATATTTTTTTTAAAGACAATTGATACCTTTCGACTTTTCACTAGTGAAATTGTAGGTTTTCAGGCAAAAACCTCGTTTTCAGACGAAATTTAGCGAATTATACTACGCTTTTTTATTGAAAAACATGCTGAGAGCGAAAAGTTTAGCTAATAAAATTACAAACGAAATCGTGGATCTATTATATATGCAGAGCCAGTACAAATGGAATTATTACTGTTGAGAGTTAATTGGCATTTTCAAACACCAAAATAGAAGGTTAGGCTACTCCGTACAATAACCAAGAAAGAAAGCATTTTTCACGGAAAACTCATCGAAATCTTTTGAAATCCTTTAAACCTTTTAAATTTTTTTTTAAATTCCCTAGAATTAAATTTAAGTTTTTTTAAAGAACAATATAGATTCCTTTTTATAGTAATACTTATAATCTTATCATATCTTCCACCTCATTTACAAAAACAGTTGCCACTTTACAATCATGTTCATTCTTAGTATACCTTCTGAGTGTTTGATTAGTTTAAGTACATTTTTGTTTTAAAATTGAGCTTAAAATTATAAATCATTTTTGTAATTTAGCGCATTGTGAATTGCACTGATGTAAGTTTAATTGATGCAAAAAATTTAAAATATCATCAGTTTGAGAGAATTTCATGTATAAGCGTGTAAAAGTTATAATAAAAATAATATACTGTAACTTACTGCTAAATAATCGATTAAATCCGACTTGTGTCAAGTATAATAATAAATAATGGTGCATGATTAAAACTGACATCGATATCGTATACCTCCACCTTATGCACCTCCCTGCATGCACCAGTAGAGGTAAGGTCAGGCACCTCAGCCAGGCGAGTGCCCTCACATTAGCAACTGTCCGATTAGGAAACCAATTGATTTGGAGTCCGGAGATGTAATCGTCGCAATTATTCCGCTACTTCCATGGACCAATAACTCAAATGGTTATTACATATAATTAAAATGAGCACAAGGCGTCGGTCTTGACATGATTCTATTGGCCATTCTCGAGCTATAATGAACGGGTAAACTGCGCCTATGTAAATGAAACAAGCGGCTTGGCGCCGTCGCTGGTCGACTTCGTGTACTTCCGGAACTGATCGGCACACTTCGACCCAACTTGGTTTCTCACGTTACTTGACCTTTTTATTGTCTCTTTACTGTCCGGATTTAAGAGAACGCTTGAAAGTAATCCGACAAAATATAGCTGTTGTTGGCTTTTACTTTCTATCCTTCTTTTTTGGAATGCGTGACTAAGTATTATACAAAGTTTATTTGGCATTGTGACATAAGGAAGAACGTGGGTTGTTTAACATTTAATGCCAACTCCATCATAAAAATTAGTATAATCTTATGAATATTTAGTAATGGATTTTTTAGGCTTAGAAGGAGGGGATTCAATTAAACTAAATAATATTAAATCATTTGTATATATTGTCATGTCCTGTTGTATCGACTGTAAAATCAACCATATTCCTAGCATTAATAGTACTAAGAAGTAAAATAATAGTTAAAGGCAAAGTTCATAGTTTAGCTGCAAAGGCTAGTAGCCTACTGTAGAAAAAAAACATGACAAGTATCCATAAATCCAGATGTCCAAACAGTTCACAAATAAATTTACTAAGACTAAACTGTTTACGAAAAATCTAACTTTTATGGTTTTAGAATTTAAATTTATATTAACAGTTTGCTTAGTAATCAAGTTTTATTTTACCTGAATAGTAATTGTAGAGTTTAACGAGTCAAAAAGCATTAAATTATCTTCGGTGGCATTAATTTACATTTTTGAATTGTCAAAGTATTTTGAAATAGTCAAATTTTCATCCTTCAATACGTGTAAATAATATTTAAACGTCTTAAAGCTTTTTTTTTTGGGATATCTTGTGAAAAATCTTTCATAAAAGTTGTCTGACTGATATGTTAATAATTTATACATGCAAATTATGTCTGACTGTACATTTGCTGTTCATGCAGTATCAAACTGTTCATCTGATTGAAGAAGAATCCAGGCAATAATATATGCCTAAGAACTAACTATTTTGCTTCGTTGCCCTATAGGTTTCTGTCTCAATAATTTTGATACTAAATATCCACCAGGGACTCTGTCCCCGGGTCTTTGGAATAACACTATTAAAATTACTAAAAATTCGTTTAATCGGTTGGCTTTTATGGAAACAGTAAAACAACTACACTGTTTTCTAGTAAATAAAAACTTGTACTATTTACAGATACTCATATTTTACGTCTGATTTGTATTTAAAACTAAACTCCGTTCAAACAGCCGTGGCACTTGAGGGATTAGGAGACCCCAAGGGTTTCCATGGGGTCTCCTAATCCGTCAGGTGCCACGGCTGTTTGAACGGAGTAGTGGTCGCCTCGTGGCTGAAAACTCGACCTAAAATATGTATAGTGCAAACTTATATTTTTTCACCCCAAAATGTAAATAAAACATTTCATTGGAATTTATTTAAATTGTTTTGATTTTCTGTGAATATTTCGTGGTTATTTCGTCACTAGCATAGCGACCTATAAGGCCCATGCTTTTTTCTTGTTTTAATTTAAAATAATTTTTTTTGTGTTTATTGTTTAGCCTGTTTCAATTCATAAAGGGATTTTGCACATCTAGAGACAAATATCTTTCTAACAGTATGCGTAGATTTTCCCTGCGATGCACACGAGCTGAGAAAAGAAGCTTTGAAAGAAACATGCTTGCCTATTAATATATAGATAATTGAAAAAAAACCGCAAAACATTTAGAAATAAGTACTTATGCATTGGTAATTATAAAAAAAGTTAAGTTCTGCATTTATTGGCGATGAAATCTTTTTTGAGGTAGCTTCCTGTAAAGAACATCTATTCAGTAGCCATACCACATATATCCCAAATTATGAAGCCCGAGTAAGCTAAAAACCCCATTGCTGCAAGGACCGTTTATCACAAGTTGATCTGCCCAACTCGTCTTAGTGATGTGAGAGGTCCCGGGCACGCTCGAGCGATCCATCGACGCCGTACCAGCCTCAGTCAACGTAACGGTCGTCAGATTATTGTCATTAAGCGCGATCGCCGATCGCACGGGACACGGGTAATGACTTTATACCGGAGACAATCCGTCCAACCCAACACGTGTGCAATTACAAGTCGTTATAATGAAATGGTCGATGACGGGCGTAACCACGCGACGCCGACGCTGCATGGGATTGGTGTACCTGATATGAGTGGAGTAAACTAAACGCTCTCCAATAGATACAGTACCATGGTCGAACATAACCACGTGAAACCGTCAGCACACGACGAGAACTCAATGACCGGTATTAAAAACTGATCTTAACTCTCTGCAAGAGTTACCGGAACATCTACCGTTAATGTGCGTCGGTACAAAGTGTATTAGCAAACTAGCCAAAATACCATGATGAACCTAGTTGATAGTTTTATGAATAATGAATTGTAACATTGTCAACCTAAAGCTGTATAATTGCAAATGATATTTCATGTACAGCATCGTGGAGTGTAACGAAATGACTCTTCCATTGTGATGGGGTACTTCAACTGCGACGTGACTTATACAACTCACAACGAATACAAACGAAATGGTATCTAGCAAGGCATTGGGGGTAAAACAACCAAAAAAATAAATATGCAAAACTAAAATGATTCTAAACGCAACGAGTCTTGACACAGTATCGCTGCTGACCTAGCAGCAGCATCAGTATTCACTCAGATCATAGTATAACAGCTGGAGAGTAGAAGAGCTGGTTATAAAGTGCAATCATTGGCCATTGCTGAAGCCACTAACAAGATTAGCTCTCACCAATAAAACTAGGACTACAAATATTGTGTAGTGCAAACTAACCACTCTCTAGAGTATGTAACTAATTATAATGTGCAAGTCTTAATTGTAAACAGGAAGATAAACAATTAAAGTAATTATTACGTTTAAAAGCTATTGACTTAAGTTACTGTGATCATATATTTATTTTAAGTGATTAGTTTCGACTGTAGAGACGATTTATTTCAGTATTAAATATTTTCTTTGTCTTTGTGTAAAACAATTAGTTCAATCCGTTGACGCATTTATTGTTGTTACACGTTAATATAATGTGAATGATTTTATTCAGCGAAATCATGAGACGAAATTCCTAAGCCAGAAATGTTTTAAAACTGATTAAGTTGGTTTTATCTCGTTATTTTCCCTCCATAGATTGAAAACAACTGTAGACGCTGCCGTATGACCTAAACACATTAATGAATATAATAATGAAATAAATCTAAGCTTATTTCAGGGTGTGTTTCATAGCGAACTAATGCAATAATGTTCAAAAATTAATCACAGAAACGATTCATAAAGTCCAAAGCTAAACGAAAGCGATCATAATGCCCAAGTGGAATAATGTATCACAATCGACTAGTACCATAATGTAAGAAGAGTGACAATATAAAACATTTGAGCACTACAATACTCATTTATTTAGTTATGACACTTAGAAAAAATATTGTTTTGGACACGGGTCTAGATGGTGGTCATAGCTTATCAAGGCACAATAACTAAATCTTTTACAGTATTTTTTTTTTAATTCATTACAAAATATAACTCCAATTTTCCCTCGTGGGTGGTTCTTACCTGATTTGCCGACTTTGGAGCTACCCAGGACGACCACCCGGATTCTGTTTAGGTTCGTCATGGCGGCACCAATGGTGACACCTGCAACATGGGAAAACAAAGTGCTAGTAGTTATAATGAATATACTATGTGCACAAAAAAAACTCTGGAAATAAAACAGTTCACGATGTCTAGAAAAATTGGGCAAAAGCGATTATGGCATTGAAAGTTATAACTAAACAGTGCTTCTAATTCAGTGGTCAATGTATCATACTTCAGTGAGAAAGGGACGGACTTGACGCCTTGCTTCTGATTACTGTAAAGTTTGGACCGCGCCGCATTCCTTTATTTTTTTTTGGTTTTATCTCTAAAAGACAACAATGGGTTTGAAAGCTTGCTCGCAATAAACCAATCGATTTTCAAAGTATGTTTATATAAATAAAAAGAAAAACAAACTCATTTTCTTGCTACAAAAATAAAATATAATACATTACAGTATTCCTCATTTCAGCATCGAGACGTTTTTTTTTTAAGAGGTTGGCGGCCTCTTTAACCTTGCATTTGCCCGTCCACATAGACTACAGATCTGTGCGTGGAACGTATCCAGCAAAACAAGGGGTGAGCCGGTACAGTACAAAGGTCAACTGTACTGACAAAAGTTTGTGGCAATTCCAGGATCCGAACCCATGACGACACTACTGCCTTGGGCCCGAAGTCCGCGACGATACCAACGAAGCCACCGACTCACCAGTTAAATCTTTGTAGGGTTTTCACCCTACTTAAGTTGTTATTTATAGTAACTTATACTTTTATTGAGCATTTTTTATTCTCTATGAAACGATCCCAAGTTCAAAAAGATCGAATAAGAAGCGGCTGAAATATTACTATTTTTAGATGTAAAATGGGGCAAACCTGACTAGTTTCTGCCTTATTCTAGCCCATTTTACAATTAAAACCGTAATATTTAAGCCATTTCTTATTCGATCTTTTTGAACTTGGTACCGTTTGATAGGGAATAAAAAATGCTCAATAAAAGTGTACTTGTAATGTCTTCATAAAATTAGCCGTTTTTAAGTAATTTAAGTTAAAAAAATTAAAATGACTGCCATTTTGAAATTTTAAGTTGAATCAAGATGATTTTTTCCTAAAATGGGGCTCTTCTACCTTATCCTACATCAAGTTTTATAAAAATTGCTTGAAAAAATCGAAAAATCAAAATTTTTATGTAAAAATACAAAATGGCGGATATCTAGTCAACGAAGCGATTTTGGAAAAAATAATATTCTTGATTTTCTCTTTATTTTCACCCATATCACCCTTTCCCGGAGTTTGGCTGTTTACTTACGGGACTCCCTGTATAAATCACAAGCAATACAGTTTAAGGTTTAATTTAATTTTTTTCGCTTTGGAGGATAATTTAAAGAATACCTTATATCCATCCGACACATCAAAGTAATAAATTATTTTCTTGATTAGGTACTTACTACATTTATTTTTAATAAGCTGTGTACTATGCTATAATTTATGCCATACAAATTTCCATTGTTGCCAATAAACAATTAAAATAATTAAAAATTCCTTTAGCTTGTCTATAAAATATTAATACTATTATACAAATAAGATAAGTTTTAACGAAGCTAATACACTGAAGACTGTGCACGGACCAGAAAGATCACCTTGAGTCAAGCATTGAACATTTGCCATTGAATATCTGATATCCGTACCAAGACCAAATTATTACTCGACTGTAATTCAAAATTTAAACATCCAATAGTCATATTAACCCACGTGATTGTGAAAGTTATCAAACCAAGTATTTTGTAGAACGTTCAATCTACTTACTCTCAATAACAAGTTTAATGAAGGCATCCTGAAGGTAGACCTGAAGAAAAAGATTTCTTCTCTATAAGCCGAGAGGATTTTAGAAATGGGGCGTTTCTTTATAAATACTCATACACTAAGCTTATACTAAAAAAATTCTATTAAATATCATATATGTATACAAAAAATGTTTAAAGCTAATAATAAAAAAGATATAAATAGAAATTCCAAAGATTAAAGATTGTTTAGGTATTATTATTTGAGGTATTGTTTATATATTGTTTAGGTTTGATTGATTAGGCATTTAAAGATTGTATTATTATTATTATTATTATCATTATGAGATGGGGACGCCACCTATGTGCGTATTTTAACCCAAATATGAGTGTAGGATGAATGTGGAATGATGTGAAATGATCTGAGTGGCTTTATTACTGACTAAGGTCAGCTGTTTCATTAGTCGGGATCATTTATTTAAAGCCCAATGATCAGGGACATCTGGGTCTAGTAACGAACCTTCAAAATCTATTTATTTTTTCAGGATCGAACCGGCGACCTTTTGATTGTTACAATAGCACTTTAACCCCTCAGCTCACCCAGATAAAAACTATAAAACAAATGTGTTACATAAGTTTAACCATTTTTGGCCCCCTTTTCTCTGAACCATTAGAACATGGTGTTAACCATATTTTAAACAAAGACTTGGTTTGAATAACAGCATATAACTCAACACTAAATCTATGTTATCAAAGCTATATTTAACAATAATAAACACTTTTTGGATTGAAAATAAATGATAATACAATAATATTTTTTTAAGTTTCTTAGATAAAGTTAACACATTAACTGTTACCAAACTGATCTGCATATAAAAGGGGTTTCATTACGGAAAAGAACATGAGTATTCATTGTTATTCGACACAACGTGAGTTAACAATGAACATTTTAGATTGGTTGTTTGGTCAGCTACTTTTTTTATTGTATACTAAAATCCAAGAATCCTACGGTAAGTAAAATATTTTCCAACAAAAAAAATAGTTTGATGTAAAATTCTCTATTAAGCGAATACAGCAACAACTAAAATTTATAAAAAAGTACAAACCCCTTAAATAACCCAACGTCAATATAAAACCTGAATAAACATTTCCAACCGGATTTATTATAAATAATCAAAATCCGGTAATTTTTTCCAAAAATATTTTCCAACATATAATAAAACAAAATAGTTAGATGTCAAATCATCTATATTCTTAAACGAATACAGCAACAAATAAAACTCAGAAAAAAGTACAAACCCCTTTAAATAGCCCAACGTTATTATCATACAACTAGAATAAACATCTTCAACCGGATTTATTATCGTTAAGAAAAATCCGGAAATTTCTTAAAACATGCTGTTAGCTGCCAGGGATCTGACAGTAAAAAGAGCTAAAAGTTACCAAAGAGACTATAGTAATAGCTACTGTCTTATATTTAATGTTTATTAGCCTACATTGATTATCTTGCATGTTAATATGTTATTGGGTATAGCTCATATAACCCGTGTTTATAAAACCTATTCTGATCGTAAAATTGAAAGGAATATAGTATTTTTCATCATTAGTCTAAAATACATTTATTTATCAATATATGTGTTTGGCCATAGAATCTAACGACTGTTGAATTTAACATATCATATCACATCTAATACTTCAACAAATTAGTTATAGCTAGCTACTCTTATACTGTAGTGGTTTTGTCATAAACATGTTATGATAATGTTTTATGGCATAATAGGACTGAATAGGCGCAAAACAATGAATAGCAATCTTCTTTACAAAGGTGTTTGAAAAACCTCATTACAATCGTGTACAAAAAGATCAAATATACGTGGACAGTTTTACTAACTTTACAAATTCAACAATTTAATCCTAGTTAATTGTGTGATAAACATTGAGATTACCCAAAAAGTACTGAGAATACAATCAAAGATACAAATGGGACGAAGAGTTTCAGGCAATCTCCAATAAAAGTACACAAGATACCTCTACGAGAAAATAATGATTTGAAACTTTAGAAAATTGGTGTAAAGACGTAAATTATCTGTATTATATGATGATATCAGTCTATACACGATTGTAAAATCTGCTAATAATACCATTCAACCTTTTGATATATTTGAGATGTGAGAGCCTGTGAGAGTTGTGAATCCATTATCTGACAAGCTCATGTTTTCAGACTGTCAGTGTTAAGTCAGTGTATAAAGTCCTAGTCTAAAAACATACACGTCCAATGAGAGGGCACGTTAAGCTAGTTAAAGTTATTAAATTTATGGAAGTATATATTTTTTTACAGCTAATATACTATTATGGTCTAAAAGTAAGATGAACGATTAATGTACATGAACACAATTAAACTCTTTCTTATTAATAATGTGAATGTTTCCCATATAATTAGTTTACTCCTTAATGTTATTTACAAACATACGTAAGTTATTCGAGCCAATTAAGCTATACAGTTTTTCTAAACTTTAAAATGTAAAGTTTTGTATAAAAGGTGGTGAATATACAAACTATCCAATGAAACAATTTGTAATCTGATAAAAATTGGTCGAGAAAAAGAATGAACCTTAGCTGTTTGTATTAATAGCACTTGATAGATATGGTTGGTAAACATTTACACCAAATAAACATGCAATTAACTGGAATAATGTTATTACAAATAGATTTAACATTAAAATATATATAAGAATAAAAAAAATCAATTATTTTCAAGCTGCATTGATGAATTCAAAACAAGCAAATATTTATTTGGTTTAAATAATATACACTGTCGTAAAACCAGATTTGTGTTATTTCACTACTTACCTTTATTTTTAAGCTTTATAAACTATCCAAGTCACCGGCGTATCGTTCACAAGTCACTCACATAGCACAGATCGCTCCACAACAGACAAACCGCGCGTCAAAGTCTCCGTAGCAGACGACGCGACTGAGCACGTGCTCGTGGTACACTTGTGACGCGTGCGCTGCACTACGACCACCACGCATGCGTACATACGCCGACTGACTGACGCGAGCTAGCAGACGACACTGGCTCTACCTCCCGCCGCTCAGCGCTCCCAGCGGCAGTACCATCAACTACATGAGACCAGTTAACCAGTTGCACCTCAGTTACGACTTCGTACAACCTCCAGTTGCGCTTTTTGCGAACCGTTCATCTCTCGTGTTATTTTTGCTGAAGTTAATCATCCGTTTGTCATGCCTCGTGTCCCGCTGAGAGCGTGACTGTAGTGTAGGCCTCCGTCACAGGCGGGATTGCTTCATGAGGTCATGAAATGGGATTTGACCCGGTAACGGTTGTCGACAGATCATTACCAGAGAGCAATAACACAGGGGTTGGCGTGTGATCATTTTAAATTGCAGTATAAACGATTTATTGATCCTGCGGAAGGGTAAAAAAGTCCCCATCTCCCCAAGCTTTTAATAGATTTTTTAAAGTGAGGCTTTCCTAGCTTGCCGAGCTACAAAAATCCTGATAAACAAAAAAAAAATTAAAAACTACCAAATGCCAGTTGTAATGCACACCATACAAGTAACCAAATCTGAAAAATCCATTGCAAACATGTACATTTTAACGTGTTCCAGATAAATCTTTTCTAACAATTGCGAAATTGTAGTCAAGTGAAATTGTTATTATGCAATTAGTACCATAATCACTTAAGTTGATTTTAAACATAAGCCATATAGGTTTAGTTTAGATAACTTTAAAAGTATCTCAATTTGGTGGTATTTCTATATATACAAATTAACTTGTTGCGCCAATATATGTAAGAACCAAGAACACTTTACTGCCATAGATGTTTTAGGGCCTAAATAGGAGTAGCCTACTGAATTTTCTGACTGGCCCAAAAATTATGAATACAAATCTCCTCTGGAGGGACAACATTAGTTTATTATCTAAAAAATATCATGGCACTGAAGCAAATACGTTTTAGCTGAGGAGACAATTTGAAATAGTTCGATTTATTGATTCTGATGTTTGATTTTCTTAAATGAATGTATTATTTAAAACTTTGTTATTTTTTAACCCACTCTTTCTTTCGATAAATAACCTTTTCTTTGTACCTGTAAGAATAATTAACCATAGTGGTAAAAACTAAACATACAAGCGGCTTTAATGCTTTGTATTACGTTACAGAATTGTAACTTGCCTAATCTAGTATTAATACACTGAATTTTCCTTTAGTACTGGTAAAACATTGGGAATCAAGTTTGAATTACTATTTTTTTTAAATGGAATGGACATATAATCAATCCACGAGATCGACTTGTGTTTTTCATGTGTATGAAGTTTTTATACTTTTGAAAAATTACATAAAATTAGGTTACTAACCTGTCGCCAATCAGTCTTATATTGTCGTAGATGACTATAGTTTCGGGGTTAAAACCCCATTTTCAAATCTTCTCTTCAGTTCTCATATGTCAAACAACATATTCTCTTGCACAAGCCGTCGTCAAAATTACTTTACACATACTAAACTCATACGAAAACATTTATAATTACTAATCATGTACATGAATCTGGTGTTGTCCTTGGCCAGCCTCACGCGCCAACATAACATGATTTGTAATCATAAATGTTTTCGTATGTGTTTAGTATGTGTGAAGTAATTTTGACTACGGCTTGTGCAAGAGAATATGTTGTTTGACATATGACGACTGAAGAGAAGATTTGAAAATGGGGTTTTAACCCCGAAACTATAGTCATCTACGACAATAAAGGACTGATTGACGACGGGTTAGTAACCTCATTTTATGTCAATAAATCAATCCTAGAGGCAAACTATGTATCAATTTAAAAAATTGCATGTCGAAATATATCAATCAATTTCTCTACCCCTAATAACAACTGACACAGCGTATGCATATGAATAAATTTTTACCGTTATTCAGTAACACGTTTTTATGACCTTGAATTCAATCGTGCTAGAAACATCAAGAGATTTATAGCAGATTTGATTTGCTAATCGAGTTTCCCGGCAAGGTCTGTTGTGGGTGGCGTCAGCGTCGCAGGAGTGTCGAGGCTAGAACTGATGGATAATTCCACAGAAAATCGTCAAAGCCGCGTATATAACGCTGTAGTTGGATTCATGATTTTCTCTGCATGTATGAAAAAGTTATGATACATAAATCTAAATCGTGCTCTGGTAATCACTAGTACGTGTATATTATTATGTACGGTATTTCTATATAGTTTTGGGCACAGTTTTAGCGAATTTCCGACTTCGATACGACGAATGGCAAGAAATGTTAGACATGAATTTAACTGGAACTTTACATTCCACCACTTTCAATTCTTTCATGGCTGTAAATTTTCAAATAACCTTCATTACGTGACCATGCACTTTTTAACATGATTTTGAATCTCATCACCCACCCCCAAATAGGAGTTGGTATTTTAAAAATAAATACCAACCCCAAATAGGGGTTAGCTGCAGCAGCCTGCAGCTAACGAAGACCCATGTGTTAGTTGTTGTACTCGCATGCCTGAGTAGTATCTAAGCCGTGTCATATGGTATTGTCTGTGGCCAGTGTCAGTGCTACCGTCCAGTGGTCTGCTTATCTGGCCAGGTTATGCAAGCTGCTGCAGCTAACGAAGACCCATGTGTTGGTTGTTGTACTCGCATGCCTGTGTCTAAGCCGTGGCATATGGTATTGTCTGTGGCCAGTGTCAGTGCTACCGTCCAGTGGTCTGCTTATCTGGCCAGGTTATGCAAGCTGCTGCAGCTAACGAAGACCCATGTGTTGGTTGTTGTACTCGCATGCCTGTCAGGTATCTAAGCCGTGTCATATGGTATTGTCTGTGGCCAGTGTCAGTGCTACCGTCCAGTGGTCTGCTTATCTGGCCAGGTTATGCAAGCTGCTGCAGCTAACGAAGACCCATGTGTTGGTTGTTGTACTCGCATGCCTGTGTCTAAGCCGTGGCATATGGTATTGTCTGTGGCCAGTGTCAGTGCGTTACCGTCCAGTGGTCTGCTTATATGGCCAGGTTATGCAAGCTGCTGCAGCTAACAAAGACCCATGTGTTGGTTGTTGTACTCGCATGCCTGTGTGGTATCTAAGCCGTGTCATATGGTATTGTCTGTGGCCAGTGTCAGTGCGTTACCGTCCAGTGGTCTGCTTATCTGGCCAGGTTATGCAAGCTGCTGCAGCTAACGAAGACCCATGTGTTGGTTGTTGTACTCGCATGCCTGAGTCCAGCCCGACCGTAGCCTCTGCTACCTCAACAATCGCCTCATTAACCAGCAAGGAACTTGTTTAACTACTTTTTGTATGTTAGAATTAGGAAGCGTGCAGGAAATAATCGATAGTTCAGACCAGCGTTACACATTGTTGTTTCTGATCCAATGATAGTAGCGATTGTTTACATGGCGTAATAACAATAGCTACTCTGGTTGCGAAATGCAGCAGCCGATTAAGTACGCTGCTTAGATTTATCCACAGATATAAAACTAGAAAGTTAGAGAGTCGTTTTCTTAATATGAACTATATTTTAAACAATTTTGATGTATTATGTATCCCACATGCTAAGAGGTTCTTAATGTTTATTTTTAACGGTACATATTTTTGGGTACTTTCATGCACTATATTCGGGAATTATTTACAAATTTGTCATACGGATTTCAGGACTATTTTAAATCCTCACTCTTATCTCAAATCCTCATTGCACGCAAACGTATTTCCTACGTCAAATTAGAACTTCGAAGAGACTTATCATTTGCTTATTACAACCAGCTTTGAATTGCATAGAGTTGGTGTTAAATTCTATAGTTTCAATTTAAGAGCATGAAATATAGTTCATACAAACCCAACACATAAAGTACTATTATAGCTCTTAAACTTCATAACTTCAATCACTAACATAATTATTTAACTTTATTTTTTCATAAACTTTTTCCATAAAGGACTTTATCTTATCTTCCAAATGTAATTCTTAAACCAATTACCACCTAAATTGTGTCCTGTACATGCAAGAAAAAGAAAAAAAATATTCCTCCAGGAAGAAATTTATTTCTCAAATATGTTTAACGATAATTTATCTTAAATGAACGAAAAAGTAATAGTTCATCCATTTTGCATGGATTAGGTGTACAGTTCTATCACAACTACATTGTTTAACCAACTATTTACATTCTAACATAGAGTAATGCTCTTTAAAAATCAATAGAGTTTATTTGAATGACCATGTACAAGAAAATTGAATTTTGTTAAGTATGAATTTAATGAACCCGCAATAGAATCTAGCCTGTAAATTAAAGTAAATTAAAGCATTGTTCGTGTTGTATTGGCATTCACGTGAGGCCATGCAAGTGGCGAGTGACACTAAACACAACTATGGCTCCCGATCTCCTAAAATATTGACGAAGAGACGCTTAAAATGTAAGATTGTAGGTTGATAGCCAAAACTAATGTTCTATACTTTGGTAGATTTAATTTAATGCCATAGGCCTACTATTGAAAATATTGAATGTTAAATTGGTCGTTTGTCGCAGTTTATTAATAATTAAACAAACATAACTATGCCTGCTTTTTTATGGCCCTACTCCTCGAGATGAACCCGCAAGGAGTTTTTTTCTCAAGGAGGTAACTACAAAATGTTCACCAACATCTAATAAAATCAGTTCCATTATAAAACGACAAATTGTCTACACCTAGAACATTTAATAAAAAAAAATGTTTCCTTTATACTGTTACAAAAAAAAATTCGTGGCCTGTTTATACAGATTGTGTCAATTCTAAACTACAGAGATCCCACCAAAACACCCTTTGTCAAGACAATGGTCACCGGTCATGTGACCGAACGTTCCACACAGATTTAAGTCGGCCTTAACGCGATTTCTTTATATGTCCAGTATTATTGCAGTAGGAAAAATTGTATAGTACGGCCCCTTGATACACCTGTAAGAACTAGTGGCAAGGGGAGGGGCTTGTATTGTGACAAGAGAAATGATTTGAGGTTAAATTTGTAAAGGTATATTGGTTTTATAAATAATATTATGGGTATTTTTCATCATCATACTAAAGTGGTCGATTTATGAAAAGGCTTCAGAAGATCCACTGAACTCTTATATTGTATAAACAAGTTTTACTAGATTATAACTATCAGCCAAACCTTTACTTTCATTGAAAAAGTTTAAATAAATTATAATTGTAAACCAAACCCTTATTTTCATCGATACACTTTTAGTTAAAACTGTTAGAGCGTCAAACAAGATCAAAATAAGAGTTACTGATATTACGAAATATATTTATATAATATGAATGTAGTTTATTCATCTGAATGTAGTTAAGAACCCGCCATTTTAGGTGGTTCGCTTTTATAATTTGTTTCAGGAGACTTATTAAAAAAAAATATGCGAAGAAAGAACAGAATAAATATCCTTTATTGTTTGTCAAGATCAAAGAACTAAAGACAAAAACCACAATGAAGTTTGTTCTGGTCATTTAATATCAGAACCAAGCCATAATACATTAGTAGATAATAATTTCGTAATTGTGTTAATATGAAATAGTTTTTAGTTATTAGTGAACAAATCATTTACTTGGGACCATGAAGGTAATTTTCAAATGTATTCGTAATATACAACATAAACTATAAACTGCATCTAAGGGTTATCAACAATTTTTGCATTACTAATCCTTTGCATGATATGATTATTATGATTTTGACTACGTGCAAAATCCAAGTATTTCTGCAGATTATATGGTTATTTTTTCAATGCATACATTTTTATTGAAACAATTTTTAAAATTAACAGAAATTTGTCCCGCAATGTTGATAAATAACATGTTTACAGTTATGATAACAGAAACAAAGATACATTGTAACCTTAGAAAGTTCAATAACATGTTATTGCAATCTCCAGGAAAAAAACATCCATTGTTATGAAAATAAAAATATATGTGTTTCAGAATTAAGTGAAATAGTTGTTGATATCCAAAGTCAATTATAATACAAAGAAGCAATAAAATTTAATACATTTCCAAGAGTTGTTAGCATTCGGATTACGTTTGAATATTTATAATGGTTTAAATACAGTACCTGCATTCAGTAATGCAAAATGCTGCTTGTGGCAACTATAGCTTCAATTCACAGAGAATCATCTTCAGGCCGTACAAGGCGTCGTTATTCACCTCCGTATATGAAGGTCGTCATTTAATAAATAAATACATAGAACACGAACACACACGAAAACACACGAAAACACACATTGATAACGAACATTTATCATTAAAAAGACCCAGTACTCGGAGACACGAGACAGGTGACGCGACTGGGTGGAAATTGTAGGTCAAACTCTAACTTCGAGCAATAACTTCGACCCTAGACACCGTGAATAACGTGGTGAATAACGACGCCTTGTACGGCCTGAAGATGATTCTCTGTGAATTGAAACTTTAGTTGCCTCAAGCAGCATTTTGGATTATTGAATGCAGGTATTTAAACCATTATGAATACATTTGTTGAACTATCATAGTAAAAATGCCACTGTTTTATATGATTATTTTTAGTCCAAATCTTCAAACTCCTCCTGTATCTCAATTGAGCTGGTTTATTTGTGTAATGTAATATGGAGAATATTTGGTTCCTAATTTGACCTGTATTTTGCTAAGTGTTAAAAGTTAAATAGCTTTACAAGAATCCAAATTTCATTTCTTTAATAAATTTAACGAGCAATTAAAGCAATTAGTCCCTGTTGGGGGCGGGTTCAAAGGAGAGAATGAGAAAATTTTACTGAGTAGCGAAAGAGAAATTCAAACTTTAATTTACAAAATATATCTTAAATATGGGAACATGTCAGAGTAATACCAATTAATTAAATGAGTATAAACACAGTTACTTGAGATTTGAGTCCTTTGGTTCGGAAGAGATGCCTGACGGTAGACTGAAGCGGGGAGCGAAGATCACCAGGGGCGGACAGTCTTTGAATGGGTGAATCTTCTCCAGGAGCGGGTAGATGAGGGGATTCTGCGTAGCCGTAGAATCCGTAGATGGTAGAAGGTCACAAAATCATTTAGAGGTCTTCCCGTCACAACACTTTGGTATTTTTACAAATTAAAAGGCACTCTCTGACATTTAGAAGGGGGAGATATTATAAAACACATACTTTAATAATTACATGTTAAACGTTATTAGTTCACTTTAAAACAGTCAAAATCTAATCTACTATATACAAGAGAATGAGCAAGGAGTACATGTTGACTCTGGGTTAACTAAGGCAAGAGTGGACAGTGCAGACTGGAAAAGTAGGTCAGATAAGATAAGCTATCTTTGGAAATCCTGGTACTAGTAGAAAATTTAAATATATTAAACTAAAACCAAACATACCGCCCACCTAAATGCATATTTACAAAATGGTACACTAAGAGGAAAATCACACAATAAAAATTGATCGCAAAAACCTAATATTCAAGCGTTAAGCTAGGAATAGGTATCGGTAGGAGGTAAGGGTACCAGCTTATGGACAGGTCTCACATATGTTCCATGAGGTGTTTTAACCTTTGCGGCTCTAACTGTAGCATCTGGTCCGGGGTATGTCTCAATCACTCTTCCAATAGGCCATTCCAGAGGGCTGCTGTCCTTGTTTTGAAGGTATATAACATCTCCGACTTGAAGATTTGGCTGTGATGTAGTCCATTTATTCCTGGGTATCAATGTTTGTAGGTAGTCTTGAGACCATTGCTTCCAAAAAGATTGTGCAGCTTGTTGTAGGAGTTGATATCTTTCCAAACGATTCATCTTAGTTTCCGTGAAGTCCTCTTCAGGTGGTGATAACAACGGCGTTCCTACAATGAAGTGTCCAGGGCTTAGGTAGTCTCCATCATTTGGGTCAGTGGTCATTGCTCCTATTGGGCGACTATTTAGAATGGCTTCAATTCTTGTCAGTAAGGTGTACATTTCTTCATATGTTAATATCAGGGTACCGATAGCTCGGATGAGGTGACGTTTTGCTGATTTGACTGCAGCCTCCCAAAGGCCTCCAAAATGGGGTGCTGCCGGCGGGATGAAATTCCATTTAATTTCTTTTGAAGCTAGGTGATGTGCTATGTCTTGATTGTTGTCTTTTAGAAATTTCTGAATTTGAGAAAAATAGTTTGCGGCTCCTTGGAAATTGGTTCCGCAGTCACTTGTTATTGATTGGCAGAGACCTCTTCTGGCAACAAAACGATCCAATGCAGCAAGGAATGAAGGTGTTGATAAACTCGTTGCAAACTCAATGTGTACAGCTTTTGTCGAAAAACAAACAAAAATTACAATATATCCCTTTTGGCAGGGGGATTTTCTTCTATTACTTTCTTTAAATTCAAACGGTCCAGCGTAGTCTAGTCCAACATTTAGAAACGCACGTGTGCTTTCAAATCTGAGTGATGGTAGATCCGCCATTTTAGGCATTAAAGGTTTTGCTTGGAACATATAGCATCTTTGGCATTTAAATATACGCTCCCTCAATAACTGCCGTACTCCTACAATCCAAAACTTTTCTTGAATGAGAGACTGTGTCAAGCGGGGTCCTGAGTGTAAAGCTAATGAGTGATAATAATCACAAATGAGTGTCGTAAGGCGTGATGAACGGGGTATCAGAAAGGGGTGTTTCCTGGAGTAAGTTAAGTTAGCGTTTTTCAAACGACCGCCCACCCTGACGAAATCATTTTCATCAATGAATAAAGCTAAAGAGCGATATTTCTTAGAGCATGGTTTATTATTTTTCATATCAGAAATATCTTTTGAGAGATAGCGTTGTTGTGTAGTCTTTACACAGAGAGATAATGTGTGTTCCAATTCCTGAGGTGATATTGGTCCTTGTTTCTTAGCTATACCTTTGGCGTTACTTTTGACGTTATTGATGAACCTTAATACATAAGAAATTACAAATTTAGCTTTACTCAGGCTAGAATATTTTTCAAGCATTTCTAATACAATGCTGTTTTGGTTATCAACTGTTGTAGATAAACATTCTTTTCTAATCTCTGGCAACTTCTCTACTTCTTCTTCAGATGAACGGTGTAATGACCACGAATCAAAGGGAGTGTACAGAAATTGAGGTCCTTTCCACCACAAGTCAAAATTTACAAGCTCTTCAGGTGTCAAGCCGCGGGATGCGCAATCGCAAGGATTTTCTTTAGATGATACATGGTGCCACTGTTTTGGATTAGTTGACTCAAGTATATTTACAACCCTGTTTGCGACAAATGTTTTTAACTTGTAAGGAGGAGTTTTTAACCACATAAGAACAACGGCTGAGTCAGAAAACAATATGATATTCTGGGGGTCAACAGTCTGGGTTAGATGCGTACTAGATAATACAACTTCTGTTAGTAGTTGAGCAGCAGAAAGTTCTAATCTAGGAATGCTCATTGTTTTGAGTGGGGCAACTTTACTTTTCGCTTTGATAAGATGTACTGATATGTTTTCCGAGGTTTCAGTTCGTATATAGATATTTGCTGCGTAGCCCTTTTCAGATGCGTCACAGAATCCTATTATCTGATTTGTGCTGTGAGGAGTTGTAGGGATGAATCTAGGTATCTTTAGGGTTGAAAGACTTGAAAGGGTTGAAATAAATGTTGTCCATTTACTGCGAAGTTCATCTGGTAGGGGGTCATCCCACTCTAGTCCACATAACCATGTGCTCTGCATGATATGTTTGGCGTAAAACGTAGTGGGTGTTATCCATCCTAAAATATCATAAATTTTAGCAATCTCAGAAAGCATTGAGCGCTTGGTACAAACTACAGGGTTAAGTTTAATTACATAGAAAAATACATCTTCAGCGGGATCAAACTGTAATCCAAGTACTTTAACAGCAGAGTCGTCTTCGGAGCGTAGGGCGAGGGGATTTTCTCTACAATCAAGCGGGACGCTGTCTAATATTTGGTGGCAATTACTGGCCCATTTTCTTAGGGTGAATCCTCCCAATCCCAGAAGTGTAATTAGTTCCTGCTGTAACTGAAGTGCTTCTTGAGGAGAATCAACACTGGTACAAATATCATCCACAAACGTTTGATGAGTGATAGCTTGAGAGGCGAGTGGGTATCTTTTGCCTTCATCTTCAACCAGTTGCAGTAATACTCTTTGTGCCAAATAAGCACTAGATGTTACACCATATGTCAATACGTTCAGCTCGTACTCATTTATATCTCCATTGGGATTTGTGCGGTAGAATATGTGCTGAAATGCTCGGTCTGTGGGATTCACAACGATTTGCCTATACATTTGTTTTATATCGGCACACACAACAATTTCATGTAGGCGAAAATTAGTTATTATCTCTCCTATGTCTCTTTGCAGCTTTGGTCCACTATACAGGATATCATTGAGGGAAGAGGAATTTGCATAGGGCTTAAAAGACGCATTAAACACTGTTCTCAACTTTGTTGTACTACTGTTCTCATTTTTTACACAATGGTGGGGAATTATATAAGGTGAGGGGTTGCTGGTGATACTCATATGACCTTGAGCTAGGTAATCATCCATAAACTCTCTATACTCCAGATAGGTTTCTGGTTTGCTTTTTAATCTGTTCTCTAGGCTGATAAGTCGTTTCTCTGCCTTATCTCTTGTGTTTGGTAGGTTGGGTGCATCAGGTTTCATTGGTAACGATACGACATAGCGGCCTGTTTTATCTCTGATATGTGTTTCTGTGAAATGTGATTCAACTGCAATATCATCTGGACTAGGATACTTCACATTTTGAACAGCTTCTACCTCCCAGAACCTTTTGAGAGTACTATCAACTGATTCACAACAGTTTAAAAAATAAGAACACTCACTTTGACAGGAGGAAGTGGCCACTCTACCACCAACTATCCATCCAAAAATAGTGTTCATTGCAGAGGGTTCACCTTTTATGATATTATGCGACTCTTTTATTATATCGAAATACAAATCTGCTCCTATTAGAAATTCAACAGGCGAGCTTTCATAGAACGTGGGGTCAGCGAGCTGTAGATTATCAAATCTTGAGATGATTGTAGGGTCAATATCAATGTTTGGCTGATCAGATGATATCTTTGGGACTACAACTGCTTTAGTACTCAAAGAAATATTTGAGTTCTTAAGAGGACTTATGTTACATGTTACTGAACCTTTGTTCACTGGGACCTGGGTGTCTGCAATACCTTTGATGGTTATTTTATTTTGATGTTTGGTGAGACCTAACTTGAGAACACATTCTTGAGTAATTAAGCTAGTTTGGGAACCACCATCAATAATGGCTCGGACTGGTGTCAGTTTGTTATTTTTATCCCTTATGCCGATAATGGCTGTGCTTAACATCATGTTTGAGGTGGAATTTGCATCAGCAAAATTACAAGTTTTGGATGAGGAAGGATTATGTATTTCTTTCATGTCATTGGGTTTGGTTTCTAAGCTCTTTTCTCTTGAGAGATAGGGGCCTGCAGTTGCATTAGTAGCTGGACGATGCAAAAGGGTGTGATGCTTGCCATTGCATTTAAAACATTTGGAGGTTGATTTACACTCGGATATTGTGTGAAAACCAAGACAAGAAAAGCACAAGAAATGCTTTTTAACAAAATCATTTCTGTCAGATAAACTTAGTTTCTTAAACTTAGAACACACATAGATCTTATGGTTGGGTTCTTGGCAACAGGGACATACGTGGCGCTTTGCAGTTCCAGTTAAACCTTTTTCATCAACAGTAGACAGCATGAAACTTTTAGAACTACTTGGCTTAGGAGATGTATTAAGTCTATTTTGCTTTAGCTTTCCCTTGGATGTAGTAATTTCTAGGATTTTGAGTTGTTGCTGTACAAACGAAATTAGATCCTCAAATTCTGGTAGATCTTTATCAGAATATTCATTTTCAAATTCTTTGCGGGATGACGATGTTAGTGCACGTAAACCAATGTGTAACATTGTAAAATCAAATAAATTTGACAATCCAAGAGCCTTTAAGGCGCACATATTTGTGCTAAAAATTTCCAAAAAGTTTGATAAGGTAACAGTAGAATCTTCAGTGAGAGGGCGGAAGGATAAAATCTTATCGAGATAGTTTGATGCTAAGAGACGTTTATTTTGATAACGATCAGTGAGAGTTCTCATTGCAATATCATAATTCTCATCACATATTACCAAGGTTTCAATGAGTGAAAGCGCATGTGATTTCAATAGACTGCGTAGATAAGTGAGTTTTTCACTCTTAGATAAGGATTGATTTTTATGAATCATAGAAGTGAATAAAGCATAAAAATTAGGCCAAGCTGATAAGGTTCCATCAAATGGTTCAATTTCCAATTTAGGAAGGCGAGCTACCTGGGGACTATGGACAGGAGATTGCTTATCAGCAGATAAGTCAGTCTTTGTTTGCTGCAAATGCTTATCTACATTCAACTTTCGCCCAATGGTTTTAACATTAAAATACAAATCATCATAGGACATTGATGCACTATGAACCTCTACTCTATCTCCTTCATCTACTTGAGAGTTTAACAAACTAATACTGTCACTTGTTTGTTCAAACACAGAATAATCATCCTCTAATCTTTGATAACGTGATACAAAAGAATCAAACTCTGTATTAAAAGATTGTTTTTGCTGAGCAAGCTGGATACATTTTTTACCAACGTCATAGAGAGCTTGTAACCTTGCATAATACTTTTCTCTCTTTTTGACTAGAGAGTCGATTTCGGCTTTCTTTAAAGCTGCCATTTTAGCTGGTGAAGGAAATATAAGGGCTAAGGTTTAAGATAGGAATGCTACAAAAAAACCTAAATACTGTAAAACTTTTACTTAAATAAATTCTCTCCTTTGGTCTAACTTTATAAATTACTAGAAATTCAGAATCCGGCTCGAAGGACCATTTTGTTGGGGGCGGGTTCAAAGGAGAGAATGAGAAAATTTTACTGAGTAGCGAAAGAGAAATTCAAACTTTAATTTACAAAATATATCTTAAATATGGGAACATGTCAGAGTAATACCAATTAATTAAATGAGTATAAACACAGTTACTTGAGATTTGAGTCCTTTGGTTCGGAAGAGATGCCTGACGGTAGACTGAAGCGGGGAGCGAAGATCACCAGGGGCGGACAGTCTTTGAATGGGTGAATCTTCTCCAGGAGCGGGTAGATGAGGGGATTCTGCGTAGCCGTAGAATCCGTAGATGGTAGAAGGTCACAAAATCATTTAGAGGTCTTCCCGTCACAACACTTTGGTATTTTTACAAATTAAAAGGCACTCTCTGACATTTAGAAGGGGGAGATATTATAAAACACATACTTTAATAATTACATGTTAAACGTTATTAGTTCACTTTAAAACAGTCAAAATCTAATCTACTATATACAAGAGAATGAGCAAGGAGTACATGTTGACTCTGGGTTAACTAAGGCAAGAGTGGACAGTGCAGACTGGAAAAGTAGGTCAGATAAGATAAGCTATCTTTGGAAATCCTGGTACTAGTAGAAAATTTAAACAGTCCCCCATATACAACATGTATATAACACTATGTGAGTCACGCCTCCGGTAGCATTGTTGTGTCTTGTTATCAGCACAACACGTGTTATCACCAGGCGGATATCGAGGCATTGTTCTCCTGAACTAGAGACACACAGTGTCTTGTGACACGAGATATTGTGTAGTCTATCAGTACCAGGGCTGCCGGAGTCCCACCCAGTATGACGTCAACTTGTAGGTTGAGACAAAAGTATTATTATAAATCGTCTATTATTTTTAGGGGACTTAGTTACTCAAGAAAATTTTCTTCATCCGAAAGACCCGTCGTTTTTTCAAGCAGGCGGACTTACAGTTTTGGTTAGTCGCTAAACCACCTGCCAAAGCTTTATTATAGAGCTCTGAGATATAAATGAATCGCAAGATTTTAACTTAGGACTTCATTGTAAAAGTCTATTGCTGTAACATAACAACTCTAACAACCCCCCCTCACTACAACAGCTGGGTCCTTAACCTTATTTTAAACGATTCAAATGGTTATTATCGTACATACCCCACATCACTTTTTTACCAAACACTATGTTTGAGGCTGCCCACGTTGTTTTACATACGGTATTTTATTTGTGGAGTGCAAACTGTTTTCTTTTTAGTTAGTTGCACTGATAGTCAATTCATGACAATTCATGGGTGGTAAAAAATTTAACCCAACCGCAAATCTTAGATTATCCCATGTTAGGTGAGTTTTTGAAATTATTTTTTTAGGATTTTACTATTAACTACCAAAGTTGAGCATATCTCATTGAAATTTTATGCAAGTCTTTTTAATAGTTGGGTAGCTGAATAATATATGTAGTGACAACACTTTTCAAGAAACTGCCGTCTTGACTATGACCAAAGTAATCTCCTTGAAAGGCAAAAACTAAACTAGATATTTCATTAGTTTATCAATGGACATTTATTAAGGGCCTTGACAGAAGAACCAGGTGATCTTCGTCAGTTAAAACTCTATAATGTTATCCACTAAACCTCCATTCTTCGTAAGAGTCTGATCTAATCCCATTTAAGTCTAAATATAATTTAAGCTATTCAGTATTATAGCTTTGAACCTTGTACCTTGTTGTCTTGCACCTTGTGGTTTGAACCTTGAAAAGCTCTTGTTCATGCCATGAGCAAAGGTTATTCGTAAAACCTATCAGATGCAAATACAAATCAATCATGTCGTGGGAAATGTTAAAGGGAATCAGCTTTCCTTGTTTTATTCGTCAACCTAGATGGACAGCATTTTGAAGCGAAACCCTTCTCCGTAAACATTTATATTTTCCAACTCAGCATCAATGGATGTGACGACGGATGTGTCGTCTGTAAGATGATCCCACTGTCCACCTCAGCTCAGCACAGCAGATGTAGGTCCACAAGTGCTGATGACCGCAGTGCAGAGGAAACAACACGTACCAAGGTCATTCACAGTTTCCGCTGAACACCTTCAGCTAACTTAACAGATTTGCAGCATAATGAGGAGTCTTTAGCGCATTGTCTTCTTACAGTCGTAATACATTTTGTTCTCTTTATCCTACAGATTCACTTTTTTCCAACGTATAGAAGAATTGCAATTAATTTATACTTAACACTTCGAACCTTAAAACCACCACTACCCTAGAGTAGTTGTTTGAGTTTTATAGATATATAAATATGTTTAAGAACACACATAGATATAACGGATTCAGTTTTAAAACACGTATTACCACTATATTACAAAAAAAAATTCAAGATAAACAAATTAATTGTAACATCCTGTAAATAAAATAAACCTTATCCTTTTAATAAATATAACAAATAAATAACTATTGCATCTACATAATAACTTAGAACTTATTTTTTATTTTCCCAGTTATATTAACGGAACCTTAAGGTTGTAATGGGTTTGAGCAACTGTCAAAGTGGTTAGTAACTTGTCATTTAATTTAGGGGCTTGTTCCAGCCCTTCATTCAAAAGGTGCCATTTTGAGTTACTAATATTGGTTAGGAATAACAAGTAACTAAATTAAACCTCAAGCTGTTTCTATTTTAATTCGACCATATTGATTTAATATTTATCAACCTAATAATAGAATTATGTATTCGAGTATCTATATTAAGGAGTCAATTTTAGTGGCTTTAATGAACCATATTCTTTCGTACTTACTATGTATAGGCAAGTAAGAAACTTAATTGTCTATCATTCGTCTACCATTGAACATATATCGACCTTGAACTACTTGAACTAATTTTAGTGAAAATGTAATATTTTTATACATGATGACTATAGGCTTATTACTGTTTCGATATCAATCACGAAACAGTTAAAGATAACTTTTAAAGATACGGCTTTAGGGAATAAACATCATCTCTGTGTGGCAGAAAAAATAACGTAATGTTAAAATTTTCTATGTGATTTCATAACCTTTGTTTTACTAAGATTTATTATTATATTTTGTTCTGTTCCTCAGCTGATTGAAACAAACATTTTGCTTGTATACTTGTGTGGTTATATATTTTTTTTGTTTATAATCAATTATGTTACTGTAGTATGTTCTAATATAACATGTCTTCATATCACCCTCGAAGCAAAGTTAACACGGTTAACTCAAATTTGTTTAGACGATTTTAATTATGACGCAACAATTTGTGTTGGCTAAACTGTTCTCTGTATAGTTGAACCATCACCAGTTCTCATAATCCGCCACTACGGTCCAGACAGCAGCACTGATCACATACTGCATTACCGACACACAGTACAAGGTACAACCGTTGACTGTAAATCCTTAAGGATTTACAGTCAACGGTACAACCAAATATCATGACCAGGGAGAGAAAACTTTATCTCAGACTCA